TCCCCTTTCCACCATCTTTCAAGGTTTTTCTAAAATATTTACTTATTTGCATATGGTTTTTTTTTTCAACAGGACTGCATGTGAATGCCTTAACTCCATAATTGTTATGAATTGTCATAAACTCATACATATGGTGAACCAACACATGAATATAAGGAGTCACATCATTATTTGTGTATAACCCTTTTACATAGTTTCTTCTACGTGGATCTCCTATTGATGGTGTTAGAAATTTAGTCAACCATGATTTTGCTTGATTTTTAAAAACAATTGGGTCTGTTGTAGGATCTTGTAAGGCTGTATAAAGATTATCAAAACCATTCCACAATTGATGAATTATAGTTGATCTATTCTCAGGTAAAACACTTTCTAAATTAAAATTTTTTAGAACTTTTAATTTGTCTTTACCCATAAGACTGGTATAACTCCAATTCTTTGAATCTGGGTTTTGCCAAAATTGGAAATGTACACCAATTCTAAGCATTTCTTTCTTTATTTGTTCCCTTGTTTCTTCAGAACTTTGGTAATTTGTTTCAGGTAACATTAGAACCCAAAGACGATCAGTAATACGAAGCATCAAATGTAATTCATCTGGAATCCAATGAGTTAATGGAATCATAGGGAACAAGGGTTGAAGCTTATGTCCTGGATATGCCTGATAATTGACTTTTATGATTTCCATTTTTTTTGAAATTTTCCATTCTTTCTCTAATTTACTATGATCAAATTTTGAACACAGACACCATGGACAAAAATGATTTGCAGTTGCATTGTTTATTCCTAAACAAATTGATAAAAATTTCCAATCACTGCTAAAGTATATAGTTATTCTCCATTTTTGCCCAATTGAATCAATAAATCCATTCTTGTCAATATCATCAAGCTCTTCTATAAGTTGGTGTAAAGCTTTTTGCAAATATTCATATTTTTCAATACCAGAATATAGTACTAAGCTATAATGATGATCTGGTAGAAAAATAGCATTTTTATTATTCATAATTGCAAATGTAATCATGACATGCTTGATTTTTTTACCAACATTTCTTCCATCTCCAGATATTCTAATATGAACATTATCATCCAAAGTATAACCAAGTACTTTTTGATTAATTAGCATTTTAATTACAAATGTTAAAATTTTCTTTATACTGCGATATCCGCCTTCACCTTGAGCATTTATAATTTCATTTTCAAGTTCAACATCTAAATTATCATGTTCTTCTATTTCATCCTCTTCATTTTCATTTTCACCTTCATCAACATCTTGTGAATAAATATTAATTGGATTTATGGGAATTTCAGCATTCATCAGGTTTGTAATTTCTTTTTTTACATTTGATGTTATATTTTCTCGTGGTAAATTAGGTTCAAGTTTTGCTAGACTACAATATCCACTTTGTGATATATTGTGTTGATCAAGTTGTTGAACCACTGCTTCAGCATATAATTTCTTTCCATCATCATCTTCTTTAAAGCAAAGATAATATAATTGATCATTAATTTTTAATGTAATTCCAATAAGTTCACTTGAATTGGAATTTAAAATACTATCTGATGATTCATTAAAATCATCTAATATATTTTTTCCAAAGACTTTTAAATGACTTCTATGTGTAGAATCTTTTACTTCTTCAAAGGGAATAATTGTATTGCGTTTTTGTTTATTAATGCGTTGATTATGTACACATTGAAGCTGAAACCCAAATAACAAAACTCCAGACATTCTAGTAGTTTTTTTATCAATTTCCTATTGTAATAAATAATATGTTAAATCACTTTTAAAATTACATATTTATAAACAAAAGGAATGGGAATTTTATTGAAATACCTTCAAATATTTTTGAGTGGCATCTGTTGCTGATTTTTCTGATGTTACTTGGTGATTTCATTTCACTATCATTCCAATTCAAACAATATACAGGCCTATTGTCATGGTATTTAGTAGAACATCTGAGTATATGCTTCTTTTTTCCAAATTCAGTTTCGACTAAGTACTCATCAGGTATAGGATACTTACATCCATTAGAATTGGCCTGAGTATATTTTGGAACATCAGGATAAATACCTTCATTAATAATATTATAAACGAATGAATTATTAGGGGTTTTATATGTTATTTTTTTATTCGAAGGATAATTATGTGTTTCAAAATCAGAGCTTGATGCATTTGAAGATGAAGAAGTCAATTTTTTTAAAAATACTTTTTTGCAAATTTTATTATTGCATTGGTTTATTATATAGCAAATACTCATTATGATTATTTATTTATAATTTCCTTACATCTACTAATTAAAAAAAGAATTGATTTATCTTTCAAGTGTTAATTAAAAAACCTGTAAAGATTTCTTGATAATAATTTTTGCAAAAAGGATAATTTGTGATTAATTATTTTCTTATTGTTGTCAAAATTAAAGAAAAGTTTTTTTAACTGTTGTCAAAGAAAAGAAATCAACTAAGTCTTTTTGGAAATGAATTAAAAAAACAGGAATCTTGATTTTATTTTTCAATGTTAAAAGATAAAATCTTAATTGTTGTCAAAAAAATTTGAAAATGAATTAAAGTAATCTGACTAAGTCTTTAAATCCCAATTTATCTTTTCAAAAGACTAAGTCTTTTTTGAATTAATAAAACAAAACAGGAATTTGATATTTATCTTCTTGATGTTGAGAAAGATTCCTTGTAATGAATAATGTGATGAACAATTTTTGTTATATTTATTATTATTAATTTATTCGAGATAATCAATTTATTATTTTTATTATATATATATAACAATAAGATTATTATATTTTTATTATATAAGCAATAAAAATTAACTTGTATTAATTAAAGTACCTGTTCGGGAAAACATCTGATAATATATAAAATTTGAAAAGTAATTCTGCATTAATTTAATTAATAAAAGTTCATTATAGAATAAAATAGGTTAGAGCCTTAATTAAAATTTATAGGATCTTTTCCCAAAATGCAAAAAGATATTTTTAATAATTTTTATCATTCACTTCTCTTGTCTACTGTGAATTTTTGCGTTAATTATTAATAATAATTTTACATTTGGTGACGATCGACAAGAACCCTAAATTTTGTTGTTTCAAAATTTTGTACCCCATTAGGTTGCGCAAATCGGTGGATATGGTCTTGTAAAAAAATTACACGTGCAAAATTTCGCATTTCCTAAAAAAATTTTTATGATATCTGAAAAACAATAAATTTTTGCTGTAGTATATCATTTTAAATTTAATAAATTCTATTTGAAACTACTTAAAAAAACAAATAAGCAAATATTCAAAATTTAAAATTTTAATTAATTAAATTATTAAAAAAAGAAATAAAGAAACTTTATTAAACATATAAAAATATGGTTGATTTATCACAAAATCTTTAATTAAAAATCTTTAAAACATTTAAAATATTATTTATTTCAAATAAAATCTTCTTTTTTAAAAATGCCATTTAAATTGACTACTATTTGTGTGATAGATTCAATCATTAACACTAAGAAACAAACAATTTCAGAATCATTGAAATTAATGCCATTACAAAGGTGAAATAAAATAATAATTTTTTAAATATAATTAATTATATAGATAAAAATAAACATGACTTAGCTTATTTAATCCTTTCCTTGTATGTGAATGCCTCCATCCATCAAATATTCATGATGGTCATGATTATTATTCAATACATTTGATATCATCATTGACATAACAAACAATTGCATCACCCAGGTAGTAATGATACCAAGGCCATGCATAAACAAAACTCTTAACAATGCATGACTACCCAGATCTCTGGGGTTCACAAAATAAATTACTTTTCCTGATTATCAATTATGGTTCCTTATGAATAATAAATCTGATGTTGATTGCAGGTGTCAGATTTAATTAAAATTTTCCTGTCACAAACATGCAGGTCGGTACAATTAAGTACTTTTCAGCACCATGGAATTTTTTTCCCACAGGTGAAAGCTCCCTGAACATGTTGGAAGGCTTTGGACAAAAACTTTCCCTTATCTTCCCTTCAGACCAGGCCAGCTGTTACCATATGGGCATTGAACACTGATAAAGACCAGCATTTGTGTGGTGATTGCTTTGTGTTATCACAAAGTTGGTGTCTGCAACTGATTGAAAATTCTCCAACTTGGGAGGTTACAACCTGGGTTGCTGTTTTGGATTTTCCCTGAATTCCGAGTTTTGAGTCCTGAGTTGTGTCTTGTTGGTGGTACGTCTGCTCACCAACAACCCTACCCCATTTAAAAATAACAAATTCAGTTGGTCAAATAAAAATTTAGAGAAACAGAAAATTTGGGAAAATGATTAATTTATATATAACATACCAAACAAAACCCAAACCATTTTATAACTTTTTTCTTGTTGGCCATATTGCTGGAAAAGATATATATAATCATGTAATAAATTTAATCTATAGGACAGGGGACTGATTGGGCAAAACCCAATCCAGTCCCCTACCCAAAATTATAAATTGGTTAGTATCAAAGAAACAGAGAATTTATGAAAATGATTATACAAACACTATTTTACAACTTCCCTCTTAACATCAGAGCCCAAATGCAATTTCAAAGTCACCAAACCTGCTCTGAATTGCAACCTCCTGTGCTTGAAGCAGGTTGCTGATTTTTTTAATATTCTTCCAGAGTTGCAACTTCTTGGACACAGTGCCAGCCTTAGAGGTGTGATAGTTGCAGATTACTTTTTGGCTAACATGGCAGCTGCCTTCTCTGGTCTGGTGCTGTGAGGGAAGATTAGTGAAAGTGTCATTGACGATTGGTGCAGCCTTGGTAAACTCCAGGGCCATGCCCCCGCCCCCTGGAATTCTGTTGCATCGTTGTATCATCGGAGGGAGCCGGTCAGATTAGCCTTGTGCAGACGACGAGGAAGATGAGAGAATGACTGTAATGTGTTCAAGGTAGTGTGCGTGCTTCAACGTCTGCCAATTTTCCTGTAATCAAACGTTGCATATTGAAATGTTTCTTTTTCAATGGTGTGCTGCCTTGACATCTAATTATAATAATAATAATGTTATTATTAATATTAATGATTACAAAAAGCAAAATATTGTCAATGAAAAATCTTGTAATTACCCAACAAGATCTGCTCCCATGTTTTGATTTCCAATTAAAATGTTTATAATAACCAAAATAAAAATATCAATCAATACAAGTAAAAAAAAGTACCTCTGGTCAGTTGTTATTAACATGTTTTCTTTAGGAGAACCAAATCATGCTAAATAACATCACTCGCGTTTTGTCATCTGTCAGAAAATAAATTGTTTTTCCAAAAAAAAAAAAAAAAAAATCAATTCGCGTCTGCCCTACCAAAAAAATAACCAATAGGATAAATAATTAGACGCGTTGTTGATCGATCAACAAATTCTCTTTTTTCTTTTTAAAAAATTTAAAAAAAATGCCAAAAGATAGAAAAAATAAAGAGCAAAGAAGAAAAGGAAAGGAGACAAAAGAATCATACGGGTAAGTATTGTTTATCATAAGAATGGTGGTGGTGGTTATCGCCCACCATCACTCGTCGTCACTCTAGTTCTAGTTTGTATATGACTTTGTATTTTTTAATTACACAGCGCCGGTGAAACGATAGAAGAAATTTATACGAAGTTAGCACCTATCGAACACGTGCTTAAAAGACCAGACACCTATGTCGGTTCTGTTGAAGCTACAACAGAAAGACAATGGATATACAACTACCAAGAAGATAAACTAGAACATAAAGAAATCACTTACGTCCCGGCATTTCTCAGAATATTCAATGAAATTCTCGTTAACGCCGTCGATAATAAGGTATTGTTCAACTAATGGTCAATGGTTTTTCTCGAAAAAAAAAAAACAATAATAATGTTTTCTCAAAAAAAAAAAAAAAAGATCAGAGACCCTTTGATGAGCACAATAAAAGTCAAGTTTGATAAAGAATCGAAATTGATTTCTGTATACAATAACGGCAAAGGCATTCTGATAGGAATTCATAAAGAGTTGAATGTATATGTGCCAGAAATGCTGTTTGGACAACTTATGACATCATCAGATCATAGCAATGGTAGAAATGGACTTGGTGCGAAATTCACAAACATTTTCAGCACTCAGTTTACTGTAGAAACAACTGATGCAACACAAAAAAAAAAATACATACAATCATTTTATAATAATATGTCAAAAATCGATGAACCGATTATCAGCAATTACGATGATGATGAAGAGGAACATACTATGATATCATTTATTCCAGACTTAATGAGATTTGGAATGACTGAATTAACTGATGATGTAATTGCTTTGTTGAGTAAACGTGTGTATGATATAGCTGAAGCAATGAAAGATACAGAGGTTTTTCTTAACGATAAACAAATAATTGGATTAAAAAGAAAAACCATCAACGTAGAAAAATTAGATGATGCTGTGAATGCAGGTACTAGCCTTGCCCAAAATTGTACATTAATTCTTACTGAAGGTGATTCAGCGAAGGCATTCGCATTATCAGGCCTTGATGTTGTTAGTGAACGCAATAATTGGGGTGTATACCCACTCAGGGGTAAGTTATTAAATGTACGTAATGCATCTCCAAAAAAATTATCAGTGAATAGAGAAGTAAAAGCACTTCAACAAATATTAGGACTGCAACACAATAAAGAATACTGTTCAGTCGAAGACCTTAGATACGGAAAATTAATGATCATGACAGATCAAGACCTTGATGGTAGCCACATCAAGGGATTGATAATAATTTTTTTTGATCATTTTTACCCATCTTTGCTGAAACAATCTGGGTTTTTGCAGGAATTCATCACCCCCATCATAAAATGCACTAAAAACAAGAATACCATATCATTTTACACCATCCCTGAATACGAAGAGTGGAAACGACAAAATGAAAATGGAAAAGGTTGGATGATCAAATATTATAAAGGACTCGGGACTAGTACATCAGACGAAGCTAAACAATACTTTAGCGATCTCAGAAAACATGTAAAAATATTTAAGCCAATGGATGAGGAAGATCACAAACTTGTGGAAATGGCATTTACCAAGAAAGACACAGATGAACGGAAAACTTGGATCAGTGGCATTCAAGATGGGGCACATATTGATTATTTAGATGATGATGAAATAACAATAAAAAATTTCATAAATAAGGAGTTGTCATTATTTTCACTTTCTGATAATATCCGATCAATTCCTTCAGTAATAGATGGCTTAAAACCCGGACAAAGAAAAGTATTATATAGTTGCATTAAAAAAAACTTGGTAAAAGAAGAGCAGCTTAAAGTATCTTCATTATCAGGATTTGTTTCTGAGTGTTCTGCATACCACCATGGCGAAGCCAGCCTTCACTCAACTATAATTAGCCTCGCACAAGACTTTGTAGGATCTAACAACATCAATCTACTAGAGCCTATCGGCCAGTTTGGGAAAAGAAATGACGGTGGTAAAAGTGCTGCAAGTGCACGTTATATTAACACCAGACTTACTGATTTTGCAAGACTGATTTACCACCCAGATGATGATATTTTATTAGATTACCTGAATGATGATGGTAAAGTGATAGAACCTAAATGGTACGTTCCTATCATTCCGATGGTTCTGGTCAATGGTGCAGAAGGCATAGGAACAGGTTGGAGTACTAGCATTCCTAATTTTAATCCCAGGGACATTATCCACAATTTGAGGAGAAAGATCAATGCAGAAGAAATGATCCCTATGCATCCTTGGTATTGTGGATTTTATGGGGAGATCAAACAAAATGGTGCCAATAAATACACTTCATATGGCAAAATTACTAAAAAAAATGACACACACATTATAATATCCGAACTTCCAGTGTGCAAATGGACAGAGGATTACAAATCCAAGACTCTTACTGATCTCAGAGAAAGCAACACAATTAGGAACATTTCTAGAAACAATTGTACCAATGAAAGGGTAGATCTCGAAATTGAATTAACCATTGAACAAATGGAAAAGGCAGAAAAAGAAGGACTCGAAAAGACATTCCAATTAACAACTGCTCTGGCAACATCAAACATGACGTGCTTTGACCCAAATAATAAACTTGCCAAATACGAGACCGCAGAGGACATCATAAAAGAATTTTATCACGAACGATTGAAGCTTTACGTCAAAAGAAAAGTATGTTAGTCATTAATATGTATTCTTATATATTTTATTTGACTTTCTAACAATATTTTAATTTATTGTTTATTTCACCACATATATTTATTATAGAATCAGTTGATTAAAAATTTGCAGAAACAAGTTAATATAATAGATAATAAAATAAGATTTCTTCATATGAAGCTTGACACAATGTTGAAGTTTGAGGGGTTAAAGAAGGCGGAAATCATAAAGCTTCTCAAATTCCATAAATTTGATAAAATAGGTGACACGCTGACCGAAGAAGATTCATCCAAGGAAACCGAGATCAATAGAAACGTCAGAGGATACGATTACATTATGAGAATGACATGTTGGAGCTTTAGTAGAGAAGAACTGGATAAGTATGAGAATAGAAGGAAACAATTATCCTCTGAATTAGATTTAACTTCAAGAAAAAGCCCTCAAGATATATGGTTGGATGATCTGGACAAACTCGAAGCGGCATGGGATGAATTTGTGAATGACGATCAAGAAAATGTGTCAACTTATAATAATGATGGTGAAGGTGATATCGATGAATTGAGCGAATCCAACCTAAATATAGAAACAAATCTTCAAAAAGGGAATAAAACTACTTCTAATAAAGAAAGAAAAAGAAAATTAGTTGATATTGATGTGGAGACAAGTGAACCAAGCAATCAATGTGGCAGAAAAATTAAAAGAACAAATTTCGGTATCTGATGTTGCATCAATCACTGCTAATTATAACCATTTTATCTCTAATTTTTTCATATATATCTTTATATGTGTATTATATATTTACGTAGAAGTATATCTTTCTTTACATATTTTATTATACATAGAAATATCTCATGTATATATCTTTATATTATATATATATATATATAACATTTCTCTTGCTTATATGTTTAATATGTTTATCTATAATCTTCACTTATACCTTTTATATTTATTAGTAAAAATTTAAATAAAATTAATTGTTCATTTGTTTATAAGTCGATCTCTATACCGTATATACAAAGGATAAAATCTTCTATAATAATAAAAGATCTTTATTCTCTCGAGTCATTATTATGATCACAATAATTTTATACGTGTATATATAAATTTCTGGAAATATCAAATGCATGATCATAGATAATGAAATCAAAAAAATAAGGACAAATTCGTTATAAAACTTAAAGGATAAAAATGTAACCTCCAATAAAAGCTGGTGACTCATCGTATATGCTAGCTAAAAGTGGCATAGATGGTCTGTAATTCACTGTCGAGCAAGCTTTCAAAGTGGTGTTGATCTTGTTAAAGATATGAATGAATATGTTGGTTGTCAGATGAATGCTTCGATCAAAAGCTGTTGATGAGTCCCATTTTCCCCTCGTATACATATTTAATCAAGGTAAAATGAGCATATCCCAAAACTGAAGATTAGCAAGTCACAAACTGGCTGTAACGGAGACGTAGTCCCATGGGTAGCTGCTAGAATTGTGATAGGCTTCTCTGTAGTTGTAATCAATGCCATGATCGTTTCAGCGAACATATATAGCATTATCTCTCTCTATTCCTGAGCCATGTACTTTATCAACTCAACTTGTTTATTAAATGCCCGCATTAATGTATTTTTATTCATAGAAAGTCCAGCATTTTTCCATGCTTCATGATACATGTAAGAATCCCATTCTTTACAAGGAGTACCAAGAAAGTAACTGAATCCAGGTGATCCAGGCATGTCAATGACATGGAAAGGAGGTCTTGATAGTGGTTACTGCAACTAATTATTTACAAATAAATTAATAAATTAAAGTTGTAAATATTATATAGTTTAAAAATTTAAAGTTCTCACTAATAATTTTATTTATATGTTAAAACAACAAGTGACGTGAAAGGAACAACATGCTCTTCACCAAGAACAACTTGTATTTCACTACCAGACAGCTGCATTAAATATATATTCAAATATTTAGAAGATCTTATGGAGAGACACTGAAAGATATCTTGATCCACTGACTGATTCAACACGTGGTGCTAAACTTTTCTCAACACTATTGGGATCATTGATAGCTCATGTAGGGAAAGAATTTTTACCAAATGATGGCACAATTATTTTAGAAGATATTTATCATCTACCATTACCAATTTTTAATTATCCAAGTTTTATTTGAGTGCTTTCAGCTTTTCATCTGGATTGGGTATTTGATTGCGGTTTGAGACTAAAGAAAAATGATGATGATAACATAGATTCTCTTCCATATCATTAAATATAACTTTTATCAAATGTTAATGAAAGTTTGTCCATCAATTAGGAAGTTAGACCATTTCTATATTTATCAGGAACTAGGAAATGTTTTTCACAAATTTATGAGTTACATTGTGATAACATATTTATATTATCAATGTGCTCTAACAAACTTTTCATTAATGAAAATGATCATAATAAGAAGAATGGTGGTCTTATTATTAGGAAATTGGTAATTAAAGATTTAAAAAGTGATAATAGGGGATTGGCATATTTGATTTCTTTACAAAAATATTTAGAATGTGTGGTATATGGTTCTGTTTATAATATTGTTAATTTAGAACTACACAAAGAAATCAGTAAAGCATTAATTAAAGTTTCAAGTTCTATAAAATATTTTACTCTTACTGGAGGATTGTTATGTTTGCCACCTGAAACAATTGGTCATTTTTCAAACCTGGTAGTATTGGAGATTTTGGTGAATGATAATATAGAAGACCTTTTCCAAGATATGTGTATGTCAGCCACTTTTAAAGGACTGGAAATATTTAGGATTGGAAGTAAATTGCCATCTTTGAATGTTCTTAGTAAATTTTTAACAAAATTTTGTTCACAAATCAAAGTTCTTGATTTATATGGGTTCTGGCCAAATGGCAAGAAAAAATTATCACAACATAATCAAACAATAGCTCAATACTATTATCAAAGTTTGCATTACCTAGCTACTTCAATTTCTGATGTCAAAGATGTAAGGCAAATTTTGGTATCATGTGAACAACTTGAGGGACTATATTTGGATAGTTATGAAAGGAAGATTGACTCTGAAGAACTTTTTCAAATTCTAGTAAACCATTATCCAGCAAAATTTCAAAATTATGTCTATTCAACAAATGGGATTTATCCAAAACTTCTTTAAAAAACTTAATAGACAAACTATTAATCCTTAAAAGAAAAATATAATTATATGTTACAAAACAAGATGAACTAGATTTCAACAGTATACTCTATGGAAATCAAAAAGTTCTCGGATAAAAATATTGATATCTTAATATTTAAACAAATCAAATCTTATTGTCATTGGAATCAATGATAAGTAAAATTGTTTAATAACAAAATACTTGATTTTATAATATTTACCTTTGTAGAATTTACCATAAAAAAAATCTTTGTACTAAATATCTTTTATATTTAATGTTTTGTGCACAATGGCCAAATAATTACAGTTATAATTTTACATGTGTAATATATAAGGGAACATTTATTTCTTACCCAGGCGAATTTCCTTCCCCCATTAATTTGTATCATATAATATTTTACATGTGACTATAAAAGTTGTTTATTTATTTGATAACAGAAAATAATGAGTCAGTTGAACCTTTTGTTGAAAATATATTGGATACTGAATCTAAAAATTATAATGGCTATTTAACTTCAATAAAGTCCTTTTTTTATGATTTTATAATTACACCCCTTACATTCATACTAAAATTATAAAACTGCAATCACATTATAAATGTGATGATAATGACTAAATTTTGATCCCTGAAATCTTTGGTAATACCAATGTTCACTTTGTCTGGTTTTGTTGCAGTATGCCCCATATAATATTACCAACATTAATCAATTTGAAGACTTTAGGATTAAATTCTCCTCCTAGCCTTTTTGCTAGTAATAATAGAATAAAATGTTTGAGAAATATTTCACTGACAAATATTGAATCTGAGGTTATTTATTAAGCAACCATTTCTATCAGATTTGTCTGATTATATTAACATCAATAGAAAAAACTCTTTAAATATCTGGATGTTGGTGATGGTCCAAATGATATTGAATTTCAGGAAAGTTATTTCAATCAATTGCACAACATTGTAAAAATTTAGTAAACTTATCAATACTTTATAATAATGAATTAAACCAGGAATTAACAGAAGTATTCAACAACTGTATTAAGTTAGAAAGTATTACAATTCATTTTGTGAATGGGTTAGATGGTGATAAAATACTTTCAGTACCAAATCAAAAAAATTAAAGTCAGTAATTAATACTTGTAATTTTTCTACTGTTAATGTCAATTCTTTTGATAATCTTATGAAGAATTGGAGAGGACCTAAACCTTTTACAATAAAGTTCTATGATTGACAAAAAAAATATCAAGATTTAGAATTTTAAACTAAATTTTTATATTTAATTAGTTGGGAAAAAATAAATAATTTTTTCTTTGCAAAAAAAAAAAATTGTTACAATAACTTTACCACTTGAGAGCTTTTATATTCTTGATTGTCTATCATATGGTTTAGTTGAAACATGATCAGTACTTATTATTATTGAAAATCTACCAAAAATTTCATTGCCCATTGTAATGCAATCTAAGTAAAATTCATTGAAATGTGACTTTTTTTAATTAATGAAAAAGGGCTAAAACAAAATTCATCCAAAATTTGCTGAAATGAAGTTTGTTGAACCATTGATTTGACTGTTTTTTGCTGTGACAACTAAGACATGTCAAAGAAGAAAATAGTAATCACCTTCATCTACTTTGTCACATGTAACAAAAATCTCTATTTTTGAGTCAATGGAAATCAAAATGATGAAGAAACGTGTCTGTAAATAATGCTGACTTGTATGCTTGACTGGAAAGTTATAAAATAGTTAATTGCAAACGGGTTTTAAATTTTAGCAATTGTGCATCATCTAACTTGAATACATGTGTAAACTTGATAAGTTGGTCACTCAATAAGTCGGCCAAAATTTTCACCCCATTTTCTTATTAATATTTAAGTAATTTAATTTTGGTAAGTCAGTTTACTCAATAAGTCGGTCATATGAGCTCACCCCCACATGAAAAACTTATTGAGTTTACATGTGTACATAAACATGTAATGATGGAATAAATATAAGCAATGCTGCTGCCACTAGAGTTTCAGCTGCTATAGTGAGTATCAATCACTTCTTTTGACTAATACTAATGATATCAAGTAATGACAATTTTTTTCCCCCATTTCACAATGATTTTGTTGACAAGATCACATGATCAATTAATCATTTTTAAAAATAAAGAATTTGTAGGGTACATCAATTTGTTACCTGAAACTTGGGTAAAAGAAAAAGTTTTGTCTTCATTCTCTTTCCATTTATGTAATCACATATTCTTTCATTAGCTCATATCCTCCTAACAATGAATGCAACAAGTGAATTTTATGAATCATTTAATGAGGCTGAAGGTTTGATACCAGTAATACATCAAATGACACAAGGGAAACCTTGCAAGCAATAGAAATATTATTAGTAGTAAAAAATACATTATTTTGAATTAAGAGTCTTGGTTCCACTACTTTATGCATAATTAAATATAATAATTTTACTTTAAAAATTTATATTTACAGCTAGCTTAAAAATTCTATGGTTGGCTCGGTCTAAAGACCTCCTATTGCTGCGCCACGCGCTCAAATTTCAAAATTTGCAATTTCATGATTCGTTCAAAAATGCAATAAAATTTTTTAAGGGTTACACGTGATTTTGGTTAAAAAACTATTTTCCTTACTTCCAAATTTAGATATGATGGTCGAGTATTAGGCTAAATTTAGGAATGATGATCAAAAACTAGTCTAAATTTAGCAATGATCCTAGCGCTCAAATTTCTCATGAGCATAGTAAAGTATATGTTTTAAAAAAGAATAGAACTCTACAATAAATAATTTTTTGGAGAAAATCTCTTCATTACATTAAAAGTAGAAACCTATTTTACCAACTAATGAGGCTATTTTTTTAAAAGGTAGGACAGAAAATGACTTCTATACTTTTAAAATTTGCCCAAAATTTAGGAGGTCTTTAGACCGAGCCAACTATATTAACTAGGAAACTCAGATTGCACACTTGCACTGTTAAACTTATTGACATTGCTAAATTAAAACAACTAATTAAAGTAGTGCAACATGTGTTGGTAAGAAATAATTATTTTATATTGTCTTTTTTCTTACTGTCATAAATACTCATATATATAATTCAACTCTTGTGCAGAATATGTATTGTGAAATGAGTAAATTAACCAATAAACTTGAAGTAACATATCACAAGTTTAATCACATTTTTGATTCATATGAGCTTATAGTTCCAACACATTGCAAGATTAATCAATTACATGAGCCCTGGTGGGCATAAAAATGAAATATTATACAATGCATGTATTTCCTTTAATATATGGGGCACAGAAAATAGAAAAGGACCTAACAGCAAAATCATGATTTTGAGATAACTAAAAAAAAGAGATTTTGACCCAAAAATTCGGTATTCGTATATCATTTCCATATTTATAGTAAAAATAGGACAATCATATTAGAAGTCATATGGCACTCAATTAGTGTGAGTGACCATTTTTACCCCCAAAAAGCTTGATAATTTTACCCTGAAATTTTCATATCACATCCAAAAATATGTAATTTTACCTATGAAATTCCCTATGACATTTTATTTGCTTTATTTAATATTTAAACATTTAGACAATGCAGAATAGACAATAAATTTTTTTCATCTGTTAGAATTTTATAAATTTTAAATGCAGTTGAGTGTAAAGTAATCATATTTGTATTATTCATACTACTAATTGAAACTTGACTACCAAGATAATAAATGATTTGTTTGATGACAAATGCGAGAACAATTCATGTTCATCTTTGCTTGTTGAATAAAAAATATTATTTTGAAGGTTTATATATACTTTACAGGAAACATTTGAAATAATATCAACATCAGTTATTGGTTCTTTTGCATAAGAATGATAATTTCCTGTAGTTGAGTGATAATATAATGCTAGAAATTGGACAAGATGGATTTTAGAATTAATTAGTGCAAAGGCAAATCCTCCTTTAATTGCTGGATATATTGATGAGATATTTGCAATGGTGATAGCTGGTATAGAAGGTGATTCTGCATTAAATTTAAAATTAATAACATGTTTTTGAGAAAATTTTATGAGATTAAATATTCTTACCAGAACTATTTAAATTTAGTTGCTTCAATCCAATATCTTGAGTTATTTGATTTATATTGTCTAATCTCTTTCTAATTCCCCATCTTATTAAACATGATTTTGGTTGATTGTCATTACTATTGAGATTGTTAACTACTTGTGACACTAAACTACTTATTGTAGATGGATTTGTATTTGTATTTGAATTTTGGTTGGTTAATTGGATATTTGCTTTGATTTGCAACATATTTTTAGAAGTGTATGCTTTGTTTTGAGTACAATATTCTATTAAAGCTGAAAAATTAACATGTCCATCATTATTAGTTATTTCTATATCCTTCAATAATATATCTTCTGATAAATTATTTCCAACAAAATGATTATTAACCAAAACCATATTATCTGAAATACTTCTAATATCATCATCTATATTGTATTGTCTGTAGATGAAGCAATAGGACCACTATATTTAATACCATCAAGAAATTGTTTAAAATTGCGCATATTTTCATGACATATTCTGGGATCATTTAATGATAAATCTGAATTTGTTCTAAGAAGTCTATAAAAATAAAAAGTAAAATTTAATATTTAAGATAAAAGCTTGATATTTATTTAAATTTACTTAGATATTTACCTGAGATTTCTTAATGACCTTTCTGCAAGATTTTCTTGAAACAAATGATATGCTTGTGGACTAGTACTTGATAATATTGCTAAAAAAATTGTAAATTGGGAAGGATATTTTATATTTTGTAGTGACTTTCCTTCTGAGATTCTTGTAGAAATCTGTACAAAAAAATTCACATAGACCAATAAATACTTTTTTTTTATCAAAAGCACCATTGTTTCCCAAAGTAGCCAAATGTTCCAAAAATTCTTTGTATTATCTTCAGGCTTATTAAGATAACTCCACAAAGTTAATATATTGGTGTTATTGCAGTACTTAAAAAGAGAATTATTTTGATAAAGAATTTTTGGAATAAATTTTCTATTTTGATCATTGGGAATTTTTTTTGCAAGTGCATTCTACAATAATATAATCAGTTTTAAAATCAAATAAAAATTAGATGATAAATTATAAATTAAATACTTACTTGAAATTCATGATTTTTTTTCAAATCAAGACAAGGTTTGCAGGTAATTTTTTTTAAACAATTATCAATATATTTAGAACAATCATTGCTTCTAACACAAAATGTATTACTATCATTTATCCACAATGCTTTTTCATGCAAAGCATTATTTAAAATATCTTTTTCTGATTTATTTAAACAATTCCAAGTGAATTTTTTGTTAAATTTTCTGGGAAACGTTTCTTTTGCAACTAATTCTACATGAGGTGCACCACCAAAAGATGTTATTAAACCAATACATTTAAGATAATTCCTTGTTTCTTCATCAGTTAACCCTTCATAAATTTTTCTTTTGTTTGTTTTACTATCATTTTCTTTAAAAAAATTGGTAATTCCTAATAAACCATTATTATATTTACAGCCACCGCCTTTATTATGTCTTTCAAACAAATCAGGATCCCATTTCTTATCCAAACGAACATCTTTACCACACTTACATCTCATGGTTTTTGAATCAATTATTTTAATAACAAGAGGGTGTTCACTTAAATTTTCTTCTGTGTGCTTCATTATTTATTTATTGTATGATAATCATTGTATTACATGAAATTTTTTTTGAAAATCTACCTTAGTTTTATAGTATGTGACCAGAAAAGTTTTTAATAAATTTACCTCAAAAAAACATGAGATTAAAATTTTTTACCCTTTTTACATATGACCTTTTTTATTTTTACCTATGATTCACCTATGACCTACCTTTTAAAAAGACAGTTTTTTACCCACTTTTTTGCATATGACATCAATTATGATTATCCGTGGTCCTATATTAGTCAGGCACCTCGGTTACACGACAAGGTTTTTTTAAGATAAGATTTCCTTATTTTCTACCAATCATGGGGTTCTGGGTTGGGATTCGTGTAACAGAGGTGGGTGCGGTCAGTGTTGAAAATTCAATCAGTGGGTGTCACGTTACACCAAATTTCCATGTGCACGGAAAAAATTAATATCATTCAGAAATAAATTGTTACTAAAAATTTTTTTACCAAATTAACAATTAACCGATTTCTTTCAAATATTTTAAAATGTCAAATATTCCAATGGTCATTGATTTGTCTGATGATGAAGTGCTTGAAAAATCACACACTAGAAAAGCTGTTGATCCTAAGTGGTTTGATGATTATCCATGGTTGGAAACTGAATCTGTTAATAGAAATATAATTTTATATTGTAGAATTAGTAGAATTTGCAATGGGACAACAGCATTTGCAAAAGGCACATCTTCATTAAGGTTAGAAAGAATTAAAGAACATATGAAAACCAATGAACATAAAAAATCAGAAGAATTACTTAAACCAGATACTTCAAGAATTAGTACAGAAAAATTAAAAATTATTTATTTAATGAGAATTATTTACTGCTGCTCAAAAAATAATATTCCTCTAAACACCTATCCTGATTTGTGCAAATTAACATCTCTACAAGTTGAAAATAATAAAGAATTAATAATTAGTGATAAAGTCTCTACCTTGAAACTTGCTTCATTAGGAAAACCATCACCATCTAAATCAAAATATGGAAACTATAATAATCATGTATCTGGTATTGATTTTTTAGATAGTATTGCTTATACAATTAAAAAATCTCTCTTTGAAGAATTAAATTCCTCAGTTTATTGGAGCATAATGATTGATGAAACCAATAGTGTTGATAATGACAAATATTTAGCAATAGTAGGAAAATATATCATCAATAATATACCATATATGAGATATTTAGGTATGGTTAACCTAGACTTGACTGATGGTGAAAATATATTTAACCAAATTATAACATTTTGTAATTCAAAAGAAATATCTTATGATAAAATTATTCATTTTGGAAGTGATGGTGCTTCTAATATGACTGGTATGAATTAATATTTAATTAAGTAAAAGTTTAGTATTTTTTTTTATCTTAAACTAAGAATACATTTTTATTAGGATACATAAGTGGTGTTGCAGCAAGATTTAAAAAAATCAATCCATTTATGACTTCAAACCATTGTATATCACATAGACTTCATCTAGCTGAAAAAGATGCTTCAAAAGATGTTATATATTTTGAGAAATATGAAAAAACTTTAAAAAATTTGTATAATTATTTTTCAAAATCTCATAAAAGACAACAAATGTTGAAGTTGATGCAGGTAATTATATTTATATTTTTTAATCTGTTTTTTCATTTATTTTTATTAAATAATTTTCATTTTAATTAGGAAATTAATGAAGAGCCATCACTTGTAATATTAAACATGTGTGATATTAGGTGGTTGTCATTTTCAAATTCTGTGAGTAATTTACATAAAATCATGAAATCTGTATTGTCTACTCTAAATGATTATATTGAAGAAGGAGATAGACTTGTAGAAATTTTATATAAACAATTAGATGATACTTTCATTTCAGCAACAATGTACCTTGCTGATTTAAAAAATATTTTAAAGAAATTAATCAATGCATTCCAGTTAGAACATTTATCCACATCTCATTTTAAATTACAACTTGATTTTACAATTAAAACAATTGAAACTGAATTTATAGGTTCTGAAGAAGTTCCACCAAATTATGGTACAATATTCCAAAAACATTTGGAAGATAACTATAATTTTATTCCATCATTTGTTAGAGAATATTCAATTGCAATCATTAATGCCATCAAGAACAGATTTCCAGAATATGAATTATATAATGCTCTTAGTATTTTTGATCCAAAGGAACTTCCAGATGATGACACAGAGTTAGTCACATATGGAAATCAAGAAATAGAAATTTTAGGTAATTTTTATGGGGAAATCAAACTTGTAAATGAAAATGAATTTAATGAAATCATTGATAAAGAAAAACTTAACCAAGAATGGAATTCAGTTAAATCTTATCTTCAGTTCTATAAAAATAATAATGGAGGAATGGATTTTATTCAATTATGGCAACTGATAATGATTTTTCTTTTAATTATCCAACTATACTACTAGTTGTTAAAATAGCACTTCTTATACCTCTTTCTAATGCTCATGTAGAAAGAATATTTTCTCAAGTGAAATTAATTAAAAACAATTTGAGGAACAAAATGCATCTAAATACATTAGATGTTCATTTAATGATTTTATTAAATGGTCCAGAAATTGAGGATTTTGATTTTTTGAAAGCATATGAAAATTGGGAATGTAAAAAAACAAGGAGAAATTAATTTAATTTTTTTTGCACACGCTCTGTGTAACGTAACACCCGCCGATTGAATTTTCAACACTGTTAAATTAATTTGATCAGGTCACATGAGATACCACATCCTTAAAAGGGTCGGATTTTCATTTAATAAAATTTGTTTTCATTGTTGTTTATATTTGTGTTCTTTTTACAAAATGATAAATAAACCTATTATATTTCATGTTGACAAATTATTATTGTCTTTCATATTTTATTACTAAACATTTATTCTTCTTTTTAAAGTTAAAATATATATTTTTACATTCCACGAGTATGTTGCTTACCTTTTTTACTTTTTACTAACTTACCACTGTCTTTCATCGTGACATTATTTATCATATTACAATATACTTCAACATATTACTCATTCCTCCCTGTTTCATATATTATAAACAAACAACCATAATTTTATTGTAAAAAATGGAAATACAACCTGCAACAACAAAATTAAATCATTATTTTTCTTTCAATTTAAAAGACATACCTACAACAACAACCAGTGATAAAGAAATTGAACGACGCGTTATTGATGAAAAAATTGAAATATGTTTAGAGTGTAATCACAGCAGTAGTGGTAATAATAATACCATTAGTGACTTGAAAACAGCAAAACACTGGTGTAAAAAATGTAATTCTGAACGATTTCAAAAAAAATTATCAACTTGGACTAGCAGTAATAAAGAAATTGATCATTACATAAAAACAATACAATTTTCTGCTACTGATCATTCCGAGGTGATTGAATGGATTCCATGGAATCGTTTTACAGATATTAGAACAATTGGAACTGGACGTTTTGGTGTTGCTTATTCCGCAATCTGGTTAGATGGATACATAACAGAGTGGGACAATACAACACAAAATTGGGCAAGAAGCGATGTTAAAACTAAATATATAATTAAAGTTTTTGAAGAATATGACGAAAAAGATTCTTTTGATTTATTAGCTGAGGTGAATAATTAAATTTTTTGATTGATTGATTGATTTATTTATTCGATTGTATAGACTAATTATTTTTTATTTAAAAAAGTTTTCTTCTCATAAAAATGGTGTTGATGGATTAATTAGATGCTTTGGAATAACCCAAATTCCAGAAACTAGAAAATATGGATTGGTAATTCGCTGTTCACAAACGGAAATGCAATCCTATTTATATGATTCTCAACCGTACATTGAGCATGACTGGAAAACAAAACTAGAAATTTTAGCGGACATTGCATTGACTATTCATCGTCTTCATGAGAAAAATTTATTTAATGGAAATCTTCATACTGGTAACATAGTAAGATTAATGAACAATACGCTGGTATCAAACATATCACAACAACCATCGTTATCAAATTCAAATATGGTATCTGGCGTATTACCATATATTGCTCCTGAAGTTTTATGTGGTGGAAAATTGACTACGGCGTCTGATATTTATAGTTTAGGCATTGTTATGTGGGAAGTTGCCACACAATTGCCGCCATTTGATTTGGATGCTCATGACATATCACTTGCTCAACGTATCTGTTGTGGACTTAGACTTCATATCAACGCTACTGAAATGCCAAATTCACTCGGTAAACTGATTAATCGATGTTGGGATGCAAATCCTGTCAATCGACCAGAAGCTGAAGAAGTTTATATCTGGTTACAATCTTGGCTGGATTTGTGCAGTGATCCGGCAACATCATCTGACAACATAGGAATGGAATTTCATATCAACGATTATGTAAAAAAGAAAAAAAAAGGAATCGAATGGAGGCATCCTAAAGCCATCTATACCGACAGAGTGTTTGAATTTAACAACCTTCCTAAACCGATTAATTTTTCACCAGATACTTATCATAAATTAGTTTATCATTATTCAACAATCGATAGTAAGTATTGTTTTTGTTTTTTTTATTAAAAAGTGGTATTATTACTATTTAATTAAATAAATTGTTTTTTTTAGAAAATCAAACTATTAAAGATGAACAACATCTATCATTATCACGTCAACCTTCTGTTTATTTAGAAAGCGTTAAAACACCAACGGTTGTTAATACAAGATTCTCTGCGCCATCATTATTACCACCTACCACCACCAAAATTATTTCTACGCAATATAACACTTCACCAAACACTGCGCCACTAGATTTCACAAGCAACAACAGTAACAATACATCATCATCATCATCATCATCATCATCAAATGTTATAATGAAAAACAAAAGTACATTAGAATTAACACAAACACCAATGCCAGGTACCTATATAGATGACGATCAATCTGATTGTCTTATTGGTTGGAAAGAAATTGATAAAAATATATATAATATGGTAATGGTTGTCATTCCTGATATTATCAATATTGCAATTCCAAATTCTGGAAAACTTTATAATAATTTACCAATTCATATTAGAACAAGTTTATTATCAATCATGTTCTGTTTATTCTATACAGTAACTTGGTTTATAATTAAATTCTTATTTTAATCAATTATAGTTACATTATTATTTAATTTAATTTTTAATTTTAATTATGTCTTAAATTATAAAAAATAAAAATTATTAATTTGCATTCTTACCATATTTGCAAAAAAATCATTTTATTGTTACACGCGTGTGATGTATATTAATTATATTAATATTAGGTGTTTCAACTCTAGAATATAAAAATTCTTTTCATACACATATATGTTATATGTTGAATATATAATTCGAATAAAATTTTTTGGTTTATTCTTCCTCCCATTCCTTTATTCTTTTACATATAATTTTTGAGCTGGCCTCATATAAAAACTTCCTTTCATTTTCATAATTTCTACATACCTATCAAACTTTTCCTTTACTCCTTTACAATGGATGAACCAAATTTTGTAGCGGGATATTACCAATGTCTTACATTTTTAAGTATTGTAGTAGCTCTTTCGGCTATATATCAAATAAGTCAAGTAAAATTGTTATTATCAGGTTCAAAATGGCCAGAATTACCGGATTTACCATCCTATGAAGAAAAATTTGACACAGTAAAGGATAATAGTGATAATAATAAAAACAACACTGCTATACATTTTAAAATAACTGTTTGGATATATAAAATATTAAATTATGTATTGGATTACACTTTAATTGGAGAAATTTCAATAAATGAAATAATATTATTGGTGATATTTATTACTTTGAATCTGATATTTTTATATCTACCATTTCAAGATGGAATTAGTACGGTGCCAGATCTATATAATAGAAGTGCATATATAGCATTAGCAAATGCAGCATTTGTATTTCCATTGGCAACGCGTAATTCAGTATTTGTAGTATTATTTGGGGTACCATTTGAAAGATTAATCACATTTCATCGATGGGTTGGTAAAACAATTTTTTTGTTGTTAACATTTCATGGTTCATATCAAATGCAACAAAACTTCAATTCATTATCACAAATATTTTTAGATAAAATTAATTTATGGGGATTTTTGTCCTATGTTTCATTGTTTATAATATTTTTGACATCTCATCCATTATTTCGTAGACGTTTCTTTGAATTTTTTTATTGGTCACATTTTAATTTTATCTTTTTTGTGATATTCGGCGTATTACACAATGATAACTTTAGCACATTCACTTGTGTCGGTGTTGGATTATATGTAATTGATCGAATAATTAGGTCTTTGATAGGATATAAGGATGTTAAAATAATATCGATAGAAGCAATGCAAGCCAACGTAACAAAAGTGGTAGTTGATTTCAATGATTATTACTCGGCAGGTCAATATATGTTTATAAATATACCAAATTTAAACCAACCAACATCATTGATTGCATGGCACCCAATTTCATTTTCTTCCTCCAAAAGTATTATCAACGCGCATGACGATGATCATAATAGTGACAATAATAACAATATGGCAAGTTTTCATATGAAATCTCAAGGAGGATTTTCTAACCAATTGTATATCAGATCACAACAACACCAACAACAATTATTACCACCACTCAAATTAAAAGTCGACGGACCTTATGGCAAACCTAGTCTTGATTTTGCACAATATAGTACAGTCGTGTTAATTGGTGGAGGAATTGGAGTTACTCCTCTGATTAGCATATTAAATGATTTAATTAATAGACAACTTACAAATATTCCATTAAAAACCCAAACAATCCATTTTTGTTGGTTAATACCTCATTTAGGTAAATAGTAAACTATTTTTCATCATCGTCATTATCATTATTATGATTTCAGTTTTAATCTTAATTTTTAAATTTTCTTAGATTCTTATAGTTGGTTTGAACTTGAATTACAAGAATTAATATCAAAGAGTCGAGCATTACCAAATAACAAATATTTATTAAACGTAAAGATATTTTTGACTAAATCAACAACAATATCAACACCACTGTCTTCATTGTTCTTCCTCGGTAGACCTGATTTCAATTTGTTATTACGTGACGTTAAACAATATAATGTGGCTGGCGATATTGCAGTTGGTGTTTGTGGACCAGCTATAATGAGGAGGAAAGTTAGAAATGCTTCTGTGATCGAGAGTGATGAAACTTGTTTATTTAAAGTTCATTATGAAACGTTTGAACTATAATTTAATAATGGTGAATGAGTGGATGGAAAGAAAATTTATTTATTTTTGTTTCTTGTAAAAAAAAAAAATCTAGAATGTAATAATAGTACTGTAATAATAATATTTATTAGTAGCCTTGCTCATATACGAACATTCGTACTACCAAGAATTTCTGGGTTCAAAATTTAAGTTATCACCATTATATACTATCAATATAATGTAATCTTGCTATTTTCTTTTCCTATTTCGTAACTTTGTAATTATTTAACAACTTCCATTGTAGTAATTAGTCCAAAAATATAAATTCAATAAGGGTTAATTTCTTCCCTTCTGGCCTGTTTTCACTTTGTTGATAGGATTTCATTTTAGATAGTGAGCTATTTTCTTTTGACTGCTTTTGGAATTCTTCTTCATTGTTAAATATAAATCCATGAATTTGGCAATTTTTTCAGCATTCTTATCAAATTTCTGACAAGTTTATTAGTCAGCATGTTTTTCAGTAGGAAGAATGTGCTTATGGTTTGGTTATGTTTGTCTACAAATAAAAGGCTTCAGGAATATCCTTCCCATAGTTTCTTCTGTCTTTTATGGATTCACCAACTATCTTATAATAATAAGGAGATCTTTTAATTCTTCAAATTAACTGGAGGTCATCAGCTGCACACAATAAATCTTCAATTAGCCATGTTTATAATTTCATTATATGATAAAACATTACTTCCTTCTACAACAATGATTGGTTTTGCTTCTGCTTCCTCATGCCATTCCACTGGATATAAGTCAGTTACTGTATCATGTTTTTTATCTTTTAATTATGATGAGGCGCTTGAGTATTTTTTCCTGTAAGAAGTTCCTTTATACCTGCAGCTAAACTTTTTGAATTTACACTATCTGGTTTGGCAAACAGACACAAGTAAAGTCTTCATGATAGAACAGATAAAAGTAATACTGTCTTTCCTTTGATATGCTTCTCTATTTTTTCTACAATATTAGTTTTTTCAGAACAGCTACTAACATTGGTTTTTTGTTCATTAACATTAATTTTTTAATATCAAATTTTTGGAGCAATACGCCTGTGGAAATATATTTTTGAATGATATATGGGGCATGCTGCAACAAAACCAGACAAAGTGAACATTGGTATAACCAAGAATTTCAGGGATC